TTTTTCCAACTTTTATTTTTAAATTAAATAATGGCACAGTGGTTTTTCTTTACTTTCAATGCAACAAGGAAATACACAATAAATGATAAAATGGATCAAAAAACTTGTGAAAAAAAATAAAACAAAACACAATCACTGAAAAATAAATAAATTGACAGACAAAAAAAAATACTATGCACAGAACAGAGCATAAGAAACTGCACTGTAATAAACTGTATTGCACAACACTGCATAAAATTTTCTGCAAGAAAAACTTTAATAGCAACACAATATTTGCACAAGAATTATTGCAAAATGAGTCTATGTGCAATAAAAAAATTATAACACACAAAAAAGAAATATATCAAGGAATGAACACTTTAACTCTTACTGCACTTAAACAACAAGCAAAAGAACAATTTACTTTAGAAGGAGAATTAAAAATTGCACTAAGAGTAAATTTGTTCAATAAAAACATGAAAAAAATAATAGGTGCAAAAAAATACATAACAAAACAGAGGGTTGAACACTTACAGTGAATGCAGAACACATCAACATAAACACAATACTAGAATTTTCTTGCAATGAAACGATGTGGAAAAATTTTGTAAATATGAGCTCTTGCTGGTTTTTTAAAAAATGGCACTATTGTCTGTGGAAATAAGACAAATTAGACACTGGCTAAAGGGAAAAGAATATGAACACAAGAATGTTCAACACACGGGGAAACCAAAACAAAAATTACACAAATCTGGAAGAAAAAAATAACAGACAACACTGAGTTGTGTTGCAGAATATGGGGTAAAAAAGTTACTGATTTTAATACACTGGAATTCTGAAGTTAAACACAAGTTCTATTTTGCTCATATGTTGCACACACAACAAAGGAAACACTAAGTACTTATTTCCCAAGTGTATAAAAAGATACACAACACAACAGATATAAAATAATACACGAAAATTAACACTGAATTAAGGAGATTAAAAGAAATTAATGCAATCAGTACATGAAAAACACTGAGTCGATCAAGAGTCACTGAATGTCACTAAGAGAAAAATTCACGGGGAACACAAAAGAAATGTCTCAACACTCGCAAATGTCTCTAAAAAAAAATATTATCGCTGTAACACTTGAAAAATGAGACTGATGGATTGTTTATATCGTCCTTGCTGCTGTCCCCCTGCACAGATGATCGTAGAATTGCGCTTAAATCGGCGAGAGACAACACATAGGAGGCTTTTAAAGATGGCGCGACACACTCTAGTCTTTACCCCCTATGTGGTCCTTAAAATATGGTTTCTACAACCCTTAGCAGTGCACCAAAACACTGATGAGGTAATGAGTTTTTAATGGCCGACTTTAGTTGGGTTTTTTGGGGGAATGGCTGACAAGGCGTCTGAGACCGGCAATGGTGCGACACACGATCGTGAGTGGCTGGGGTTATGGGTTTTAACGTCGTAAGCCTCACTGAGAAAAACCCCCCACTGCCGCAAAGATAATTCTAAGCCGACTTGCTTAAAATAAACCCCCGAAATACTACAACACCACAAGGATGACAAGGAGCCCCTCAGAATGCTTGGAATTTGAATCACAAGCGATGAAGACTAGTCACGTGGTTTGGGCCTGATACTGGGTAAGACACCTGGGTTAGTTGCTAGCGGGCTTATCTTAACCCTTCACACAGAATAGCTTGATAATTTCACCCCGATGAGCACAGCAGGGGTGGAAGCTGGCTTGGCAGACAAAATAATTGGATGGAGTAGGCTAGGCTGGACTGGACTCGGGTGTTCTGACCCCCCCACCACAGACTGGAAGCTGGCTTATTTTGCAAACCCCGGGTCAACCCCTCGGGAGTAATGCAAAAAAGCAGGAAACACTAATACAAAGAGACTGACCAGTGAATAATGTAGAAGCTGGTAGAGTAGCTGGCTTGAGGTAGCGGGTGGGTGAATCTCGGTAGTCGGTAGGCCTACTGGTCACACGAAATGGCCGTCTTGCTGGTCGACAACTTTATCTCCAGAAATCGCTGTAATCGCAGATTACAGGCTCACCGCTGTCACCATTTATCGTAAAGGTTTCTCGAATGGAGATATCGTAGGTTGAAAGTAGACACACTTGTAGGATGGTAAATATATTGTCAGACTGAGATGAGAGATGGAGCCCGGTGCCAAGCCTGTTCACTTTTTGGGTAGGTCTGCCGCCGAGTGAGACCGGACAGAGGAATGGGACTCCTCGTGAGCAACCCGTGACGTCACACCAAGCCACAGGCCTACGAGGGATCTCGTGTCTAAAGCACAGGGATATACTAATATGCATGCTATAAAATACTGGGAATACAGGGATCAGCAACTATGCTGACATGTGTGTGTGTGTTTTGGTGTTTTTTCTTGTGTATGTGTACGAGTGTGCGCATGTGGGGGTCTGTGTGATGTCAAAAAAAATAATAATTAATAATATTATTATTGTTATTAAGTAATTACCATTAACAAGAGCATCCTCCCTTCAGATATTTTCAAGAGT